CAGGATATTGAACTTTTCTTAGATTATATATGAAATATGTGTTGGAAATGTCATTGCTCCCAAATACCACAAGAACAACACTATTGGCTAAAATGTCATTTGTTCTATTTTCTCCAACCAATGCTTTAAGCTTTCCAATATATTCTTTAAATGAGTCTAGCTGGCTTGATAAAGGTATAGCAAACTGGTTATATACAAAGAAACAATGTTAGAAAAAATATATATTATTGACGGTCAAAATTATGTGAATACATATAAAATTGGATTCACCGCAGCAAACTTAAATAAGTATTCACATATTCAACGATGTTCGAATTTGTGAATGCTTAGAAGATCTTCTGCATGGAATCACGATCTTATATTTACCTGTACTTTTGATGTCAAAGAATCGAAACCAGCGCCACCAGATGCAAAACACACACCAGTGATCAATTCATTAGGGTTGAGTTTGGGATCCAAGTAAGGAGGTAGATATTCTTTAATGCCTAATTCTTCAACTGAAATTTTTTTTTTATAAAAAGTGAAAGACTTAGTAATGTAAAAAAGTCACAATGTTAACTCAATTTTAATCATGTTCAATATTTATGAAGTGCTACATACCTATAAGATCTGATGGAACCTTTCCATTGCAAAATCGACCCGTTGCAACCCTTCCCGGAAAATCTATCCCATATGGTGCGAAATCGGAACGAGCTACTGTTTTTTTGAAGTTATTATTTCCAGTATCCATGATTGAATCTCCAAACACAAGCAATGCTGGAATTGAAACATTTGGTGGAAGTTCTACTTTTGCATTTGTTTCAAAACAAATAACTAAAATACATATCAAGTGGAAAACTATAGTGGAAATTAAAGTTAGAAGAGAATGAGAAGAAGGGAGCTTCATTGAGAAATTCATGTATAAAATATAACCTATGAAAACAACAATAACAATTGGAGTTATATAGAAGTCCATGTTATTTTTCCATTCTAAAAAAGAATATAGAAGTCCATGTGCATCCATCCTAGTAGAGTTTAATGTCAACAAAAGATTTTTACGTCAAGATTCATCAACCCTTTATTTTCTAAAATATTTTATATGTATTTGATTATGATAAAATATTTTCAATTATATCTTAAATTTTAAGTTGTTTAATAAAAAAATTGTTCTAAATTAAAGTAAGTTAAAATTATAATATAACTTTTATTATTTCTTTTTCCTTCGTATTGTATACCTTTTATTATTTTATTTCTTTTTATTCTTTAAATTTTTAGAAAGATAACTTTATAAATTATCTTATATTTTCCACTTAATTACAAGTCTGATCTTCTATTTTATTCTATTCACATATATCATGTCTTATCTCTATTAAGTGTTTGTTATTGCAATATAATATAATATAATAGACTAATCTTAAAATTTATAATATTTTTTCATTTTAGTTTAAATCCTGAATTGAGTAGATTTATAAATTAAGATATGAAAGCACCTCTCAGTCATTTATTTTTAATATAATATAATTTCAAAAAATAAAAATATTAAAATTTAATATAATATATAGAAAAATTAGTATCAAATTTAATATAATATAAACAAAAATAAAAATGAAATTTAATATTAAATTTCAAATAATATGCCAAAAAAAGTAATTAGTTTCTTTTAATTAAATTTTATAAAATTAAAATTATTATTAAAAAAATTCAAAATATTAACGAATGTTAAGTTTATTTTTTAAATAAAAAATAATTTTATTGCAATGATATTTGTTTATGAAAAAGTTGTTGTTTTGTAAATATAACAAGAACGATAAAAAGTTGTTGTTTTGTCAATAACAGAACGATAAAAATTGAGTTTTTTGAACAAACATAAGAATTAACATCTCAATAAATGTTCAAAAATTACACGTGAATACCAACAATTAACATCTCTAACCCTGATTAGGATTAGAATTTGCACCATACTTCAAAGATGAGAGATTAACATGTTATTTATAAGAAAACCAACATATTAGGATTGAACGAAAAATGGAAGTTGGAGTTTGAGTTTGTTTTTGGAAGTTGTTTGTGTTAGTTTGATAGTTATGGTGGTTAAGGGTTAATTGAGTAATTGAATGATTGTAAGGAATGAGGTAGTTAGAGACAAATGGTGTTCTAGTTTAGCAAAAGTACCAAGTTGGAATGTAAGACAAATCGTCATTAGTAATTAACTTGAATTTGAATGCTTTTGCCTTGACTTTTCTACCAAATTTGGCTTGAATTTTTAGTTAATCATCTCATGATTTTAAGTTCTTTTGAGAAGTGATTTTATGTTGAAAATAAACACTTTTGAATGGTGTAAACTCACACATCAAGTTCTGAATTTTTGGGCTTCAAACATTGTTGGAAAGTGTTGAAAAATAAGTCATGGAAGTGAGGCTTAATGAAAGATAGAACTTGTTGAAAATTAGTGTTTGGCATAATCATGACATAAGTCATTTGTGATGAATGATGATGAATCTCTTGATCAAATGCTTCTAGAATAGCTATAGAAAAATTCAAGAGTCAAAATCGATTAAATTGTCGATAGTTGACCAAAAGTCAATTGTTGACCAAAAAGTCAATTGTTTGACCAAAAATCAACTGTACCCAAAAGATGTAATATTTTTACCCTCTTTCCTTGTAATCCATTATATTAATTTGTATCTCAAGGAATATGCATTGTATCGAGAATTTTCAACTAGTGAATGAAATCTTCCTTTTATTCCAACTTTGCCCTTTTCTTCGAATCTAAATAAACCTCCGAATTAAGCAATAATCATTCCAATCTCCCAGCTAATCATGAAAAGAGATGATCCTCACCACAAGTAATGTGAGAAATAAACCCTAATAATTACCACATAATATCCTCCTCGAAAATCCAAACCAAATAAGTTCATTATTGTCGAACCTTTATCCTGAACTTGTTACAATATGCAAATGTCGATGAATAACCTAAATACATGATCAAATAGACAAATGTATACAAATGAACAAAACCACAAGCTAGACGAATTGAATGAGGAGGTATGGCAAATTTTGGAGTATAACATTATCACATACATTGATAATACGAGACCAACTTTCAAATCGTGCATTTTTTGTGTTCATACTTGGTTTCTTAGAGTTTCAAAAAGCAATCTATAATCGTGAAATCAAGTGCAGAGGCTGGATATAAGGCACTTTCACTAAACAAGATTGTCTCTCGTGAAACTTTCACTAGAGAAAAAGTCGATGGACAATCCTCACCTTCCAATTATTATTTTTAATTATATTAGTTACATGTTTTTGAAAAAGGAATGGTTGAGATTTAACATAACATTTTTTAACTAGAAAGGATCCTTCCCCCTCTTACACACCACTTTTAAACTTTTATTGTTAGTATTTCTCATGTCTAAATTGTGCACTCCGAGTTTTGCTATGTGACAATCTCAATGTGGTTCAAATGACACCAAAGTGTTTAACTTAGTAACATGATACTTTCGATAACTCTTTACCATATGTTCGTATAACAAAATACATTGTTAGATTAAAACTAGAGGTGCAAAACGAATCGTCGGCCCCGCCTTAAGCCCGCCAAAAAAGGGGGCGCGGCGGACAAGTGAAAATAAACTTAAAAATCTAGTCTGTCCCGCCAAGCCCGCCTATTTATTTATTAATTTATTAATTTTTTTTTTTAATAAATTAATAGGCTTATTTTTTACATTTCAACTAGATTTTTCACTTATTTTTTAGAACAATTTTTTATAAAATATCTTTTTAACAAATTATACTAAAAAAAATATCGCATATATTGCGTATAAAACAGAATCATCAACAAATATTCCAAAATATAGTTCAAGTATTAACCTTTAACCAAAAAAAAATTATTATAGTGTTTGATAACTACGTTGGCGAGCTGTCGGACCAACCTGTTCCTTTTTTGGTGAACTTAAGGTTGGGCGGGTTTAAAGCAGGGCGAACTAAGTGGGTAGGCGGCCACAAAATCCCAACAACCCGTCACTTTTTGGCGGGTGCGCGGACTACTACCCGTTTTGCAATCCCTAATTAAAACCTATTATCATATAGATCACGCCTATAAAATTTCCCATCAATAAAAAAATATTTGATATGTTAAAATAAATGATACAAATTAATTGTTTTCATTAAATTTTGTAAGATGTTCGTTTTTATGTATTTTGTTGACAAATCAAATGTTTTTCTATTGATATAAATTTTATAGACATGATCGATATGATAATAACTTTCACATCCAACTATGAATTTTGTTATACCAATATACGATAAAGAGTTATTAGATGTATCATGTAATTAAGTTTGACACCTTGGTGTCATTTGATCCTGACTTATATATATATATATATATATATATATATATATATATATATATATATATATATATATATATATATATATATATATATATATATATATATATATATATATATATATATATATATATATATATATATATATATATATATATATATATATATATATATATATATATATATATATATATATATGAGGCATAAAGATTGAAAAAGTAATATAAAGTTATGTGATTTACCCGAATTAGTAATTGGTAATAAATGTAAGATTTTGTTTCCTAAAATATAAAATCTAAAATTTAAGTATAGATGTTAGTTAAGGCAATTGTTAAAGAGAAGGAGTAAAAAGCGGAAAAGTAAAAGACACTGAAAAAACTCACAAACTTGGTACGCCACTCCTCTCTCTCTCTCTCATCTGTGTTGTTGATTTTCAATAATGTGACAGTATCCTTGTTTTGAATCTTTTATCGTTTTCATTGAACATGATATGTTGTTCTTTTCTCTGTGATCGAACGACTGCCGTCTTGCATACGCCACCTTTTGCCGGTCGGCCACCGCCGTGGCTGCACCGCCTCCATCCGTTCATTGCGAATATTTTATTCTTGCTAGTTGCTTATTGTATATAATTTCATGTTATGAATGCATGATCGTGTGTTTTCTTTTATTGACAGAAAAATGGGTCGTGAAAGAATATCTATGAAACTAATTCAAAACGAGAAATCAAGAAAGACAACATTTGAAAAGAGAAAGAAAGGCTTAATGAAAAAGGCGAATGAACTTTCCATTCTTTGTGATGTTGATGTTTGTGTGATTCTCTATAAACCCAACTCCGAAGGACAAGGATTTGCAGAACCTGAAATGTGGCCTAAAGACACAAACGAGGTACAAAGAATTCTTCAAAAATACTATAACACGACAATCGATAGACGTCCTAAGGTCTATCATCTTCAAGAGTATTTCGAAGAAAGGTTGAAGAAAGTTGAGTTTGAGATTTCGAAAGTGCGAAAACAAAGGCTAAAGATCAAGTATCCAGCCTGGGATGAAGCTTTTGAGTCTCTTAGAGGGAATGAATTGAAGACGCTTATTAGCACATTGGATTCTAGGTTTGCTTCTTGCTGTCAAAAGATGGATATGCTTAAAGGAAAAGCGATTGTGGAACAATCACAACCACATCCTAGTACTTGTAATTTGATCTCAAATCCTTCTGTAAATAACATGTTTGAAGCACAAATTTATCCTCCTTCGATGAACATAAGCGATAAAACTCCGATGTTTTGGCCACTTCAAGAGGGACAAAGCTCTCAACCTTCTTCAATGATTTCGAGTCCACAAACTTCCTATCATCCACTTCAATTAGGACAATGCTCTCAACCTTCTTCAATGTCTTCGAGTGCACAAGACTTTTATCAGACACATCAATTAGGACAAAGTGTTGAACCTTTTTCGATGATTCCAAGTGCACTAGCCTCTTATCAACCACCTCTATTAGGCCAAAGCTCTCAACCTGCTTTGATGATTTCGAATGCACACGTCTCCTATCAGCCACTTCAATATGGACTAACTGCTCAACCTTCTTCGATGATTTCTTCGAGTGGACGAGCTTCTTATCAGGTCGAGCCTGACGAGTCTCATCGCTACGAAAATGGTGAAAACTTGTCACCATACTGTTACAATGGGAACACATCAATGCAATCATATCCTGTTAATCCACCACATGGATTTCAACATAATGGAATCACTGATATGGATGTTCTTCAAGATGATATGTTCAACTACATGGATGAAAGGAATTAGATCATATGTTTCATCATTTTTGGGAATTTTCATTCTCTTTGAAATTGATATTTGTTCTTGTTTGATAGTTTTTTCTTAGTACTTTAATTTTGTGTACTTCTGATATTACCTTTAACAGATTCCAGATTTTTTGTATCATGACAATTCAATTCATGCAATAGATTTTAGTACAAGATTGTTGAATTTGGTTTTACTTTTGCTAGACCTCATTATCATTCATTTATTTAAGAAAGTCTTGGTTTCAAATTGGAAAAGGTAACTAGGTAAATTTCTTATTGTGGTTTTGTGGCTCAAAATTGAATGCTAAGTTGTTATATGCAACTCACCGTGTTTCTATTTGTTTTAAAGATTATAACCATTGCTTTAAATTTGACATCTAATTGTTATAGTACAGGTATGTATTTAAATATTTAAAGTAAAGAATAGTTTGATGTCTAATATATATATGGTTATATTGTTTTTCAAAAGTTGCTTTATTTTCTTTTAGCTTAAATATCATTTTTCTTCACTTTCTTCCAAAAATTATCTTTTAAAAAGATCAATTTAATTTTTTATTTATTCTTAGCGTGTCTTATAGAAACGGTTTGTTTTAGCTTTAACAAAATGATCTTTTTATATTTTTAAAAATGAATTTTATAAATTTTTTATATTTGTTTTGTTAAAATTAAAAAATTAATTTTGACATTCTATAACATAAAAATACATTATTGAAAAACAAGACATGATCGAAATTGCAATTTTTTAAAAAAGTTATATCTTAAAAATAATTTTTATAAACAAACTATTTGAAATAACTTCAAAATTAAAGAATTTTTTTGAAATTTTGGTATTTAATTTTTTAAAAAATAAAATGATGAAATATTTAAAATAACTTTTTAAGACCCTAAATCGATGAAATAACTCACGAGTGAACCCTAAATCAAATAAGACATAAACGCATTTCTTCTCTATAACTTTCATCGTCATAGTTTTAAGGCTACATGTTTTAGTCCTTTAACTTAATTTGATGTTCCGCTATAATTACTTAACTAAAAAACATATAAGTTTGTTCCTTAAGTTCACATTTGTTATCCTAGTTGGTCTATTCCGTCCATTTATGGAAAGAAAAAAACGTTAAGTTCTGGTGACGTGACAACAAGGTCATTAGTGCAAATCTGAGTCAATATATGTAGTTAAAAACTGATACATTGTTTAAATTGCGAGGTTCTTCAGAAAACAAAACCTTCGTAGTTTAAACACTGTATCAATTTTTAACTATATATGATGACTCATGTTTGTACCAGTGACATTGTTGTCACGTCTTGTCGCCATAATTTAACGTTTTTTTGTCAGGAATTGACGGAAAGGACCAAATAGGATAACATAAGTGAAGTTAAAGAACTAGTAACATTTTTTAATTAAGGGATTAAAGCGGAACATCAAACTAAGTTAAGGGACTTGGTGACTAATTATACCTAGTTTTAATTAGTAAAATCCTTTATTGAATAGAAAGAAATCTTGGAATTAAACCGAAGATTTTGAGTAATTCCGAATCAATCTTGATGAACAAGTTTCAATCACACCGATGGAATCCCCTCTTGTTCTTCAATCTTCACTCGAGTGAATCAACCGCACCTTAATTGCAAGATGACTCGTTACACAATGGTGATGAAACAAGAAAGAGAATTGAATGTTGGGAAAGAAAAAATATTAGGGTTTTAGAGAAAAAATAGGAGAAGAAAAGATTTTCTACAAAACTTCTCTCTGCTTCCAAACTGGAATTTCATCCTTTGCAACTACAAGTGTTCAAGTGTATACAATAATATGGATTATTTCCTATTTATAGATTTTGGCCTTACTTGCTCCTCAAGCAACGCCTAAAATTAACCTAAGTAATTCAGCTAAACAAACAATTAAAGTTAAGTCTAACATTATTGTCGAGATACTGTTCAACCTTTTGACACCTAGGTGATTCGACACTTCTTTGCTTCCTGTCAAGCAAGCTGCTTCGACAAAAGAAATTACAATTCAACAAGAAAATATGAATATGGACACAAACTATCAAGATCTATTTTTAATAATTAGTCAAACTTGTTTATTTTTTTTGAAACTGTATTGTTTAAGTGGAGAAAAGAAATTAAATGATGTTATAGTATCGATAACAATGTCACATATCGTCACATCAACATGCATGCCTTTTATAGTGAAAAACACATAGCCCTAAAACATAAGATTATTGTCAATATACCATTGTTTTAGTTATAGGGATGTTTGTGGTGCGGTTTAGACGATTTTTTTACGTTAAAAGTCATCTGAACCGCAAGAAAAATAATGTGTAGTTCGGTTTGATTCAGTTGACTTTTAGAAACGAGATCGAATCAAACCAATATGGTTTGTGTTAGTTCGGTTGGTTCTATTTTTTACAAAATTTTTATAAAGTCGTACACACTCATTTAGATGACAATATAGTTTTGTGTTTAGTCATCCATACATTACTCTAACATAAATTTATAATTGTCAAAATAAATTTATAATTTAATGTATAAATGAGAATTGCATCTAACATTTTATCTTATGTCTAAAGGTCAATATTAATGAAATTGCATTCTTAAATAAATTAAAAATATTATATTATGTAGTTATAAAAAAGTGCATGCTTATGGTGCTAGCCTTCTATCACTATAATTTCTTTTTATTATTAATATTTTATATATAAAAGGATGCAAAAGTAAGTAAGATAAATAAAACTTTTTTTTAATTTTATTCTTATCCACGTCAATAAATTAAAAATGAAAATAAATATAAATATATAATAAATTTTATTTAAATAAAAATAATAGTATTAATAAATTTTATTGATTTTTTTAAAGAATTAAAAAATATATAATGATTTGTAAAATTTTATAAAATAATGCAGTTTAGTTTGGTTTATCTCAAATTGTGTAGTTTTGTTAAAAAATGATTCAAATTCATTTGAATCAAATACACGGTTTTTATGATTTTCAATTTGTCTCAATTCAGTTAGTAGTTTTCCTAGTGGAACAATTCGATTTTGAACGTTGCTAAATTTAGTATGGCAAAACAGAAGAAACAACTAAACCATTGACAAACACAACACACATCGTTTTTCTATTCCATTTTCCAACAATTGCTCTTATGTTTCCCTTTCTCTTCTTTATCCTTCTTCAAACAATAAGGTCACTACCGGTACAAATTCAAGATCTCAAAACCTCAAAACGATTTGAACTTTCTCCTTCCGCATGGAACAACCACGACCAAATACCTTGTAATTAGTCAAAACGTAACGTGCGATGCAACGAACAACACCGTAAATCAAATTAAACTCTCCAACTTCAACGTCGATGGTCCATTACCTACCTAAATACTTTGCCTTTTAACTAATTTCAATACTCTAATCATAACTTCTCCAGCTCAATCCCTAACTCTTTCAGAACTTTCTAGGATTTTCATGTCATTTCTATTGGAATTTTGTGAATGGAAAAATAAAAAATGAGAAACAATTACCAAAGATTCATAGTGGCTTCCATTGTCTTTTTTTCTTCCATTTTTTTTATTTACCTCATATTCTTTTCCGTCTGATTTACTTATTTTATTTTTGCCTTTCTAAGTATTAATATTAAGAAGAATAACGATATGGCAGGGCGAATGTGAAAGAGAGTAAGAGAAAAGTTGTAAAGGTGGATGGTGAATATGTAAAGGTGAGTCTTTCCCTTTAATTTGGATGTTTTTTTAATTTAATATTTACCTCAACGCCAAGTGTATATGACATGGCTACTTCATTTTCCTCCTAGGCTTTAGAGTCAACAGGGGTCTTAGGAACCTCAAATTCTGCTGCATCATTTGCTTGAGTTGTCTGAGAGAGTTGGGTACAAGAACAAGACGTTTGGGGTTGCAAAGTAGATGCAACAACAAACGATTTTCCAGTAACTCGTGGCCTCGTGGTCCTCGCTGCAGCACTATCACGTCGTATCAATGCGGTTTGGGACACACATCCGAGCGTAATCCATCTAGTGTTTTCTTCATCCATTGCACATGCCTTATAAACAAAGACAAATATAAACAGCGTGTCTAGAGAAAATCACAATTCCCACAAAATAATCCAATTTTTTGTCTGAGTCAAATACGGAGATGCATCTCTAAAAACAATGCAGAGAAAATTCGGAGATGTATCTCCGGACAAACCTACGATTGTCTTAGCCTTGGAAGATACACCATTTCTTCCCTAACATACCAAAAAAATCTTAATGCATGTTTTAATAGCTTATCGATTTCATTTACACTAGTACCTAATGTACCTAAAACAACTAGTGTATCCTTAAAAACTAACTAAAAATCAAAAAAAAAGATAAGAAAATTTGAAAAACTAACTAAAAGAAATTGATTGATGAGAAATATCAAATCGATGTTATGAAATGTCGAAAAGAGCTCCAATGATATAAGCTTGATTAAATAGATGCAGAGCTAAAATCGTTGTAGAACTCAAATGATTCTTTTTAGAACTTTTGAAAAGGGTCGACGAGAGATATTAAAGAAAAAATTTCGGAAACGCATCTCTAGACCATCTATCAACTTTTGATATTGACGACAATGATCAATCTCATGATTCAGTCATAAGTGCTGAAAAAGTTACTACTAAAACTAACAAGGAATAAAAATTGAAGCCATTAATCAAGTTTTGGTTTGTATAAAATTAACATGTTATTTGTCACTTCTTGCACTACATTGATGTTATCTTTTCTAACTTGTGAATATCTCCAACATTTCACTCTAAATCCTTTTCAGCCTTCTTGGCCATTAGAGCCCTATAACTCTAAAATCCAAGGATCTACACAGTTTAACAGTTTTAGTTTACAAATCAAATTGGATAGTGTTGACCAATCTTCTGGAATCGAGTCTTTTGAATTATCTTCTCAAGATGCTCATAAGAAGGCAGGTGTCTGTAGCAATTCATACCATGCAAATATCAAAGATGAAATTATGAGGAAATTCAAATGTTCAAA